GTCCTGGATGAACAGTGAGCTGACTTATTGTCTTTTTGGACTATAGCCACAAGTGTTGATCTGATTTATGCATATTTTAATTTATATTTTTTATAATAAATTATACACCTATTTTTATCACACTCACGGCTTTTATTCCTACCTGCTATTTTGAAAGAAGGAATGTGGTCCTTAACCACACACATCTTATGAAGCGAGCCGATATATAGGCTCAGGGTTTGTGAGTACCTGGAGAGAATCTTGGACGAAAAGGAGGGGAAGGGTCGCCTTTACGGACCCTAAGGCGCAGATACTTGAGCTAGTATATCAGCTCAATAAAGTGTGAGTTAGATACCTATGTACTTTATTTCTATTTACATTTGGTATACAGATTACACTATGTTCTGTACATTTATGTTTTTGATTTAAGGTTTACCTGGATATATTGGGACTAGCTATAAATACAAACAACCCATCAAGGTATAGCTAAGTCTTTTTTACTCATTCCGGGAGATCCACTATTATAGAGCGCTACACCGATATTTTCCACTTTTTTTCACTTTTAATATACATTTTAAACAATAAAATGTGTTATCACTGATTCATTGGCTGGTATGTTGGAGACTCCTCTTTTATCCAAAGCCCATGAACGGGTCCTGGAGTATATTATAAAGAGCCTGGTCACAGCTCTAGTACATGTGAGTGGTTCTGCACTCTTCTACATTACAGTACTGTATAATGCTATATTTTTTTTAATTTTTGCTCTGTTATTTATGTAGACAATAGTATACACCTCATCCTGTGTATCAGAAGATTATGCTTTATGTTAACACAAGGAGTACTTTCCTTTTTACCTTATACTGTATACTATGTTTAGTGGGTATTTATAGCACTGTATAAACTTTATATGATGGTTTATTAAAAATAAGATAAGCCCTATTATAACTTTGCTCTTTCAGTTGCTAAGTGGATAAGTCCCTAATTTGTTACACTTCATTATGACAATTCCATGTAAGGATATCTAATTATGGAGCTATCTAATCAAACAGTTGAAAGATCAAAATTAAGGGGAAAAGTAATTTTCTTAATTTTGTTGTTTTAGCTGCTTAATAGATAAGTTCCTAATTTGCTATTTTTATGAAAATGAATGGACCTGAACATGTTTGGATAGATTTGTTCCAAAATCTTTCATTTTCAGTAATTCGATTTGTCCAAATCTGAATGCATGTGCCTACTTTCCAATTTTTCAACAAACTAGGGGGGAAAAATCTTCTCTACCCCAGAATTATAGTCAAATCTCTCCTTGGATCAAGAAACTGTTAACCCATATATTACATATTATATCCCTGATTATTAAGAATTAATCTATTAATCACTGTTTAAAAATCATACAGACTGTACTGAAACCACCTTTTCAGGCAGATAATTCCACGTCTTTGTTGTTCTTAATGTAAAGAACCCGTTCCTTAGTTTAAGTTTAGACTTTGTTGTGTGTGCTCAGTTATTGTGTGAAATGTTGAACTGGATGCAAACTGTGTTAATTATATTATGTAACCGGTATTGTGCAATGTGTCTTGGTGTCCAGCAGGTGATTAAATTATCATGTCTTGACCTAATTATATTCCAGACACAAAGACACCAGGGAGTGGTTTGCATTGTTCTGACTAAAGACTAACAATGTGTGTAGGGATATAAATATATGTGTTTTTTCTCTTCAATAAACAGTTCTCTTGTTTTACCCAATGCAGCTGGTCCTGTCCACTATTTGGGGAGTTTTACAAGGTTCCAGAGAGCTATAATCACTGTATCCTGTAGCTAATAATCACTGTATGCTGTAGCTGAATCCAGAACTACAGGACGAATGGAGAAGCGTCGACCAAGGGACACTAGGAGACCTTCCTACTCATTCCTTCCAGTCTACGTTGTGTCCTATGTATAGTCCTATTTATGAGCAGATTTCCAGACAATGGTTTGTATTGGCCTCCCAAATATGTTTGTATAATGCTTTCTTATCCCCTGAGATTTAAATTGTTTAGCCTTTCTTCATAACTAACATCTTCATTTCCCCTTATTAATTTTGTAGCCAGTCTATGTATTTTTTCTAGTACCATAATATCCTTCTTTAGACAGGTGCCCAAAATTGCACAGCATATTCAAGATGTGGTCTTACCATTAATTTAAAAAGAGGCATAATTATATTTTCATTCCAATAATTTATGCCCCTATTTATATATGACAAAACCTTACTGGCCTTAGCCACTGCTGATTAAAATTGCACATTGTTGCCTAGTTTGTTGTCTATAACAATTCCCAAATCCTTCTTGTGTGTTGTTATCCCTAATTCACTATCATTTAGGGTACAAGTTGCTTGTGCATTCTTTACCCCAAAGTGCATCATTAGATTTTATCTGCTATTTGAGTGCCAGTCCCCAGATATATCTAAATCCCTCTGCAGCAAAGTAATATCCTTCTCACATTGTATTACCCTTCCTAGCTTTGTGTCATTTGCAGACACTAAAACACGACTTTCAATGCTTTTTCAAGATCTTTTGTAAATGTTGAAAATAAGTGGTCCCCCTAAAAAGCGCAGAACAGAGCAGAATCCTGAGGGACACCACTAACCATTTTTGTCCATCTTGAAAATTTCAATTATTGCTGTAAAGACACTCCCAGCTTAAATAGATGAAACTGCCGTTTAGCCGATATTCCCCCTTTCCAGAGACCCAGGCGCTATACAGTAGACTGCCAAACTCCCGAACGAAGTTCAAGGGAACGCGGTAAATCCACGAATAAACAAATCAGCCGAATCCAATCTTCGGCTAAAACAGGCGAAAGAAATCCTTCCAAGTAGCAATTTCCCCCAAATACGAGACCAAGCTCCGTCTTGAAGGTAAAACAGGAATCTGCTTAATGAGCGCTACCTGCCCGGTATTTACGCAGGTCTCCCACCTGGTGGACACTCCCCTAGGGGACCAGATGGAAGACTATCTGGGTTAAGTCCATTCGTATTCTCCAAACTCCCGAACGGACCGGTGTTCGCATGCCTCGCCGAATGAGAAGGGCGGTCGGTAGGTTCAGCGGTGTTCGGTAGAAAAAGAGTCCGTTTATAGTTCAATAAAATCTGCGCCGAACACCGCTGGTCTTTCGCGTGTTTTAAAATGGCCGCCGCCTCATGGTCGGCATGCGAACGACGACCACCCTGCATACGGTTAGAATGGAGAGGTATCTGCGGTTAACCACAACGTTCTAATTGGGGCCAAGAGGTTAACCAGCAGCACATTTCTCTCCTGGGTGGCCGCCCGTTCGGTAGTTTTGTTCGGTATATTTTGTAACAGACTAACAAGGGCATACGAACAGGTAATTCAACGAAAAGAGGCAAAACAGACGAACCAGCAATATCAGTCTATACAGATGGATCTATCACAATTGCCAACTCTCTGTACTCTATATTTAAGGCAATGACCTACCTAATAGAAAAAAGTTATTTTTTTTAATTTTGAACCCTAACCTATTGTGTGGAACCATATCAAACACTGTTACAAAACCCAAGCAGATCACACCCCCTGCAACACCCTGATCTATACTTCTTCTTAAGTCTTCGTAGATTTTTACGTGATCTATGTTTAATAAAACCATTCTGCATTCTAAATTCTGCCAGTATTTGTTTTATCTGTCATTTTTGTCACAAAAGAGTTTATGCCAGTGAATAAATTGTAAAGCAGCCAATGTTAATGAAGAAATTGGACATCCACACTATTGATTTCCGTGTGCTTTTATTTTTTTCCCTTCAATCAATTAAAGAATACATGTAAACGTGAATAGCAAAAACCATCAATTAGTTAGGATAAGGAAATGTTTGCATGCAATTAAGTAATGATGGATTTACAAAAAGAAAGGTGTGGCTTACGGTAGCATAGTCGAACATTCCATCCATAGTAGTAATAGACTGCAAAGGCTGTGGGGCAGGTTATAATAATAATAATTAATAAGTAAGTGTGTGCCAATCCGAATCTTCTATGGGTGTTGAGGAAACATGATATTTTAAAGCTGCTGTGTGTAGTTTAATTATTTTAATTGTTCTATAAATGTAAACTATCCTATTACGTTAATTATTTCATTAATTTAATTGAATGTAATTTTACACATTAGAATATTTCAGACTATACATAAATAAGCACACCTGAATTCATTTTGCCTTGATGCTGTTTAAGGGTATTCCAGCTATGATCAAAAGCAAGTGTCAAAATGAAGAGCTAATATGGAGTTAAAGAGCTGTATGTGGTTGGGCAATTAGATGTCACATTGCATGTTTTGGCTGAAGATTAGTTTAACACGTTTGTTGTAGGTTGCACTGATACTGTTAATTAAATAACACTGGATGAGATTTATCGAAAGCAGGTGCAAAATGCTAAATAAGGAACAATCACCATGAAAACTAATACAATGTCTCTCAGTGGTTAGCACATTACTCCAGAATAGCACCTGCTTTTCCTTCATCAGTCTCCCCCACTGTTTATAATAAAATAACAGGACCTTTGCCAACCACAAAAAGTTTTCAACGTGGTTAATTTGGATTCGATGAGAAAAGAACAAACACACTGAACATATATGGTTTTAGTGGGAAGTGAATCTGGCTGTAAAAAGTCCCGGGGGCTAGATTAATAGGTGGTGAAATGATCGTAAAATGGTACCCAAATAGTAATGGCACCAAGCAGGGCATTAAACTTGGTGGCTATATTTGCCATCAAAGATTGTACTGAAGCCAACGCTATAAAAACCTTAAAACAGCGGGGCGGCGCTTGGCTCTGGATGATGATGGCTGCCTAAACGTTTCCTGCTCCACTGCCTCGTGTTATTTAGCGTAATAATCCCTACTTACTGGCTCCAAATGGGGAAAACTAATAGACCTCCTGGCTCCCAGAAGGCTGCTGAACCTAAAAAAGGTTTGGTTACCCCATCTCTCCGCCGGTACCTCTAACCAGGCGGACCTCTCTACTCCAGCGGACCTAGCATCTCAGCCCATGTCAGAAGAGGCCTCAGATGACCAAAGGGTTGTCTCCCCTCACATCTCCAAGGAGCACAGGGCCCCGATGCCAGAGGACAGGGACTGGTTACCCTTTCTTTGGGCACTACCCACCCATGCTGATCTTGCGGCTGCCAGCAGAGCACTGCAGACCTTGATCCATGCTAACATCCAGGTGCTACGTGACAATGTTCTAGGCCTGAATGACCGTGTGAGCCACCTGGAGTCCACGTGTGACCTGCTCCAGGCTGACCAGACACACACCAGTGAAGTGGCTGGCTATCAGGCAGAATATCTTAGAGGCCTGGCTATCCATGTGGATGATTTGGACAATCGGGGACGACGGAACAAATTGCGGCTGAGGGAGTCGTCTCAAGTCCGACAACATCCATGAGCAATTGTGAACCATCTTGGAGGCAATCTTCAATGGCCTGCTGAAATGGGACCTATCCACCAAGATCGCGTTCGTCCGAGCACACCGAGTCCTGTAGCCTAGGGGACCGCCGGAGGCCCCACCGCAAGACATGATCTGCTGCCTGAAATTGTTTGCGGAATGGGAGAACACCCTATGGGTTGTCAGGGACTCTGGCACCCTTCATCACCTACAAACTGAACTGCAGTTGTTCCCGGACCTCTCACCAGCCATGCTACATTACCGTAGGATGTTAAGACCTCTCACGTGTGTCCTGCAGATAAAGGGGGTCCGGTACAGGTGACTTTTTCCAACAAGTCTATCCATGACCACTCTGGATGGCCCGGTAGTGCTGATATTGCATGCTGACCCGGTCCAACTGAGGTGAGCCGAGCCCTATTTTTGTGCGACACAGCATCATGACCATACCAACTGACAGAGATATACAGTCTGCCCCTGTTTCCTATGTTTTTATGACTTGGGATTATTACAATTCTCCATAGGTTCTTTCCTATTACAAGGCTTTTGTAAAAAACCTATAGCCTATCCCCCTCCCCACTCAAAGGGATGGTTTTAGTGACAAATCACATTAGAGGAGGAGAGTTTCTCAGACTCAGCTGGTCTGGGTGGGAACCTTGACCCTACCAATATTACTTATTTTGTTCTCACTATACTTGCTCGTACACGCACCTAGTGCCAGGATACAACTGAGATCCAACACGCAGAATGTAAATACAAAGTAACATATACCGGACCTTAGAATTGCCGGACTAACGTAAAAGCACAAGGGGTAGTCAAATTCACACCGAGGTCAAAGAGTACAGAAATCAGGACAAGCGAGTAAGCCAAAGCAGGGTCAAGAAGTATAGAAAACAGAATAGTCACAAACAAAGCCAAGGTCAAAAGCTAGAATACAAAATACTGAATACAGAATAGCACTATTCATTCTCAGGATGAGAATATCATTTTGCCTCTTTATAAATCACTGGTAAAACCACATATTGAATATGCTGTGCAATTCTGGGCACCTGTTCTAAAGAAGGATATTATGGCACTAGAAAGAGTGCAGAGGCGGGCTACAAAATTAATAAAAGGAATGGAACATTTCAGCTATGAAGAAAGGTTAACAAATTTAAACCTATTTAGTTTAGAAAAACGTCACCTGAGAGGGAATATGATAACATTATACAAATATATTCGGGGCCAATACAAATCATTGTGTGGAAATCTATTCACAAACCATACGAGTGTAACGGATCACCTGGCACCCGACTGGGTACCTCCATTGAAGGATGCTCCTAGTGCTTCCTGAGGGCTCCAAGCACTGCAGCAGACACCACATCCACCGAACCGGAGAACCATACGAATGCTCTCAAGCATATGAATGCTGAAAACAGCTGAACAGGAAAAGCATACAATCAGCTTACACTCCTGGCAATCAGCATACAATCTAATTCCCCCAATAACGAGATGACACTTCGTTTTGAGGTCAAGCAGAACTGACTGTACTGGCACATACAGCCTCTTTTATTCACAGTCCACAAACATAGTACTGCCCACAGGGTTTTGAAATACAACCAATCAATCTGTACAATACACACAGACACTCCCACACAAAATCCTCCCCTCTGCCTGTGATATGATTACTGAACACAATGGTTAATCTAATTATCACAGGCAGAGAAATACAGTATCATAAAACACATCACAAGGACCCCAAAACATGCAATAACCCCATGTTACCGTTCAGTAGTTTGGAAGATGCAGTTTAATGCAGATTCTGCAGAACATATACAGGCTATATGAAAAATAATCACTGTATAATGTGTCCTCTGTTGTATAGTTTAAAACTACTGAACGATGTCTTCGTGCACCAAATACTGGCGAGATGGCACCAGGTCTGTCATATGACTAAAGGGAAGGGCCTCAAGACTTTAGTGGACTCATTGGGGGACACTGTAGGAACATTTTTTACATGAGCTAAAATACGAACAATTAAAAAGAATTCTAGCCTGCTTCCCTCAACAACCCAACTTGTGTAGGGTACTTACCCCATTTGAACAAAATTGTGTAGATCCTTACCCACAACCTCATGCAGTCTCCTTTGTGTACTCCCCATTGCAAAAACGCAATGGAACCTCCCAGCCCCCAGTTATATGGGAAAATGGGAAGAGGCCCTTGGGGAAATACTCACAGACAACCAATGGGGGAATATTTGCAATATGGTACATTACTGTTCGCTAGCTAGCCCAGGAGACAGCCTATAAAGTCTTAACCCCTTAAGGACACATGACATGTGTGACATGTCATGATTCCCTTTTATTCCAGAAGTTTGGTCATTAAAGGGTTAAAGCAATGGTACAAAACACCACACCTCCTCCAGGCATTAAACCCTAGCTTAGATGGTGACTGTTGGCCTTGCCGGGCCGCTTTGGGTACGTTCATGCATGTTTGGTGGGACTGCCCTAAAATCCAACTTTTCTGGACAGCAATTACTGCCATCTTATTGAAGTTCTCGGAGAATCCACCGCCTCTCAGACTGGCCCCATTCCTCACACACCACACCACAACCCCGGCAGACAAATACAAGAAATCCACGTCCATACGGATCTTGAACACAGCTAAACAAGTTATCCCCTGTAGCGGAGATGCAATATTACCCAGGGTATCTCCGCTTATAATCCAAGTGGGACTCAGGAACAAGTAAACAGTAAATCCACAGGCAAGGTTTCCAGCAGGTAAAATACAGCAATATCCCACCAGCAATCCCAATAACTGGACGACACACAGTTTCAGGAGCATAACTGACAAGCCTTTAATCACAGTCTCCTTATAAAGCATGCTCCCATGCAAGGGAGGGATTTACAGTAATTATTACAGTAGCCAATCCTGTCCTGGTAACCTCCCACCCATCTCCTCCCCTCAGCCAGCATCATAATCCCCTTATCCAGCACACCAATTCCCCCCGTTTCTGGATGTACCCCTAAACATAGGGGTACCTCTTTGAATCCTACATCCCCGGATACCCCTGATCTGGGTGAACAACATATCCAAAAATCACCCAGATCAGACCAGGGGTTCGGGAAATGTATGGAGGGAATAAAATGACCGACCGCACTAACTGATATAGCCGAATAAGGTTCCATTCGAATGGGCCCTGCGGTCGGTCCTGGCATAAGGGAACAAAATACACGAAAGCCTCTAGCTATAGAGGCTAGGGAGGGTTCGCCTGAATCCCCTCGTTCGGTATTTTCTATCTACCGAACGAGGGGCCGTTCGGTAGTTTGGAACCGAACGGACCAGGGCTGTGGAGGTCTCAGCGGGGTTCGCCTACTCGAGTGTCCGATTTTAGTTCCAGACACTCGACGGCAAAACACCCCCGAGAACAAAGGACGGCTACTTACGATTCAATTACCCGTTCGCAACAATGTTGCAATGGGTAATTGAGGACACACTTCACACAGGGGAGGTCTGGTTGTTCGGTAGTTTCATTCGAATAAACTAAGGGAATGAAACTACCGAACAACCAGAGGAATACAATTCTTTTTAATACATAGAAAATACAGCGGATACAGGAATGCAGGTAAAAACAGTATATTTGTAGGGTCGCCTGGTGCTAACCGCTACATCCCCCTTTACTGGAAAAAGGAGGTGCCCTGCCACTGACACTGTGGTTCAACAAAACAGAGGAACTGAGATGGTTAGAGGAACTGACTTTCACGTCCCAGGGACGTACACAAAAATATACAGATATCTGGACCCATTGGCTGCTTGACGCATACCATTCAGACTTTCAAGCTCTACTGACATACGGAACCCCGACAGACACAGCAGAAGGGGTGCAGGCTCGATAGAGTGGCAGATCTCGGCTCGTTGACTAAGAGCATTTTGTCGCTGGTTAGGTTATAGGAAACACCTTTGTATCTATTAAATGACTGATAAGGGATTAGAGCCTAACCTGCCTGCTACTTTTGTGATCTCACTCATCCACTAGACACACAGAGGTAACGGACAAAGGGTATGTTGTTCTAGTCTTGCTCAATTGCCCCTGGCTAGGGTATGACTCGTGCTAGCTGAATTGGCTTCTGGGAACGAGGCACCATCTTATACCAACTGTATGTCTATAGGAATATAATGAACATTGCGGCAGAACTCAAGGGTCTCTCTATTCATTTTCCTTTTTCTTGACAATTATAATTCAATGCTACATGACTGATTGTGCTGCTAACATAAATTTTTAAAAATGGTTGTTACTGTAGATTCCTGTTTTCCTTGGTAATTTTTCTTTGGTGGCAAATAAAACTTTTATTCGCAAAAAAACCCTTGAAACATAGAACATAAATTTATGTCAACAGACAACTGTTCTCATCTTATAGCACTGAACAAGCTCTACCTCTCGATGAGATGAAAGGTATAATGGTTATTGAATGTGAGAGTGCTACATTGGGTGAAACTTATCAAGACAAAACCAGGTGGTATGCTGTGGTCGATCATTAACTAGATACCAATTACCATGGAAACCAATAGAATGTCTCTCAATATTAAGCACTTCGTACCCAGAATACCACCTATTTTGCTTTGACAAATCTCTTTTAAACTTACCAACTTAGAATTGTGTTCTACTCTAAAGGTTTAGTAAATGAGATATAATAAGCTATATTAGTGGCATATTTAGTGATAGAGAACTGTAAGTGAGATTCTACACAGAAAACAAATGTACTCCTCTCCTAATCTGCAATATAAAGAAGGATGTTACACCCAGGGGATATTTACGTGTATCGCTAAGGTGATTTTTCAGGGGGGGAAGAGAGGGTGGTTTATTAAATCATGTTAACGTATGCTGAGACTGTGTTAAGAAAGTTTGGATCTTTTTTTCCTAAGTACGACTTCTTTCTAGGGATTTCCAATATACAGGGACTACATCTTCCATAATGCTGTTACTGCCATAATGCTGGCAAAGCATCATGGGAGATGTAGTCTGCAACATTTGGAGAACAGAAGGTTACTTACTCCTTGTCTAGTTTATAATTCAGACTATATTAGTCATGTAAAGCATTATATTCATTTCCTATTTCTACATTTTTGGTTGATATTTTTCATTCCAAGTATTCAGTTTTTTTCCCTTTAATTGTTTGGGATAAGGGTCTGAGTCTTGTTGGAGGCTTTCTGTATGAGGGTTTCTTTTATCAATAAATATTTTAAACCAATCAATAAAGTGAATATTTTAATTACTACCCAGTACTTGGTATAGTATCGCTTTGAGGTTCGGTTTATGTTATTGTCTCAATGTATCCGTTATGATGGGAGTTTAATCCCTTATTAATGAACGAATAGTCTCATTGCTGTTATAATTAGGGTCATCGGTAACCGTGACAACAGTAGACCGGCACAAATGGCCAGAATCATTGCCAGTGAAGTATATAATGATTGATTATATCTCAAAATTCTAACAAGATCTAATGATCTGACAATGAATTCACAGTAACCTAGAAATAGGATGTAATGGGGATATTGTTTAAGATTTTGTTTAATGAATTTTCTACTTACTGGCAGATTTACAGTAATACTTTGTGGTTGGTTTATTCCCTTTTCTGTGGTGAATATGTTCATTCACAACTTTTCATGTGACAGAAAAACAAAAAGACTTTTATGCTGACTGATGGGGACATTAATAACTCACAAAACATTTATGTGTTAATATGATCAAATTCCCAGCAAATCACGTCTTACATGTAATAAATCAAACGTCTATTTCTGGCTCATAATGGTTTTCAGATAATGATCTGTGGAGGTTGTCCATATCTGAATAATCTGTATTCATACTGACTTCGACAGAAAGCTTTATAGCTAAACTAAATGAAGCTCTATTTAAGAGTGCAATTAAAATAGGTCTGCCATTTATAGAATTCATCAAATCTTTATGAAAAGCTGTTTTCTAAAATCTTTATGAAAAGCTGTCATTTCAGAGCAGTTAAAAGATACCCATAAGATAAAATGTGGACTATTCTGTTTTATGGGTGTCTCTAAAAATGGCAGAAAATGATTCATTTAGACGGTCAGGCTTTCCAATTTTCTACCGCCATGTAAAACGTGCAGTAGATGCCAATGGAAACCACCGTCGACATAGGTCTGTGGAAGATTACACCACCGCAAACATCCATCTGTGGAAGATTACACCACCGCAAACATCCATCTGTGGGAGATTACACCACCACAAACATCCATCTGTGTGAGATTACACCACTGCAAATATCCATCTGTGTGAGATTACACCACCACAAACATCCATCTGTGTGAGATTACACCACCGCAAACATCCATCTGTGTGAGATTACACCACCACAAACCTCCATCTGTGTGAGATTATACCACCACAAACCTCCATCTGTGTGAGATTACACCACCACAAACATCCATCTGTGTGAGATTACACCACCACAAACATCCATCTGTGGGAGATTACACCACCACAAACATCCATCTGTGTGAGATTACACCACCACAAACATCCATCTGTGTGAGATTACACCACCACAAACATCCATCTGTGGAAGATTACACCACCGCAAACATCCATCTGTGTGAGATTACACCACCACAAATATCCATCTCTGTGTGAGATTACACCACCACAAACCTCCATCTGTGTGAGAGTGGGAGATTACACCACCACAAACATCCATCTGTGTGAGATTATACCACCACCACAAACATCCATCTGCACCACCGCAAACATCCATCTGTGGGAGATTACACCACCACAAACATCCATCTGTGGAAGATTACACCACCGCAAACATCCATCTGTGGGAGATTACACCACCGCAAACATCCATCTGTGTGAGATTACACCACCGCAAACATCCATCTGTGTGAGATTACACCACCGCAAACCTCCATCTGTGGGAGATTACGCCACCGCAAACATCCATCTGTGTGAGATTACACCACCGCAAACATCCATCTGTGAGGTCTTCACCACCGCAAACCTCCATCTGTGGGAGATTAATCCATCTGTGTGAGATTACACCACCGCAAACATCCATCTGTGAGGTCTTCTTAGAAATGCCTCTTGTGAGAGGTCTTTATATGAATTATTGAATCTTTAATAACTGCACTTTTAAACAGGATTTTAATAGAGCTTTAGTTTATTGATTTTTTTTTAACACTGCAAACCACTCAAGCTGTTTTAATGGAAATAAACAGAGTTCTGTGTTATTGCAGAGTAATAGCTGTTTGAAATGGCACCGTTTAAAGAACTTCACAACACGGGTAGGCAGATTACCTTACAGCAGAGTTGCCTAAAAGGTAGATCCCCAGATGCTTTAAAACTACAACTTCCATGATGCTTTGCCATTCTAAAGACATACAAAGCATCGTGGGAGTTCTAGTTCTACAACATCTGGGGATCTACCTTTTAGGCACCCCTGCCTTGCAGTATAGGCATGGAAGGGATCTATGAAAGTTTACCCCTCACATGGATTCTTAAAGGACCACTGTAGGCACCTAGAACACTTCAGCTCAATGTCCCCCTAGTTTTAACCCTGCAGCTGAAATTCTCCTATGGGTGGTTTGAAAGCACGTGCGGCTCTGGCTGCGCATGCGCATTCGGAGCTGGCGTCGGCATGGGGAGGAGAGGTCACCAGCACCAAGGGAGCCCGGCGCTGGATTAATGTAAGTGGCTGAATGGATTTTAACCCCTACAGCCTATAGTGCCAGGAAAATGAGTTTGTTTTCCTGGCACTATAGTGCTCCTTTAAAATTTGTTATTTTACTCTTACCCCTCCCCTTGGGCTCCAAATTTCCCAAGGGGTGTCTTCACTCCCAATGAATAGTGACAAGGAGAAAGAAGAATTGTGTCCAAAAGAAGCTTGCTGGAAAGAATGTCCAGCTTAGAACCCCAGCGGGTATCCTAGTTACATTCTAATGAACTAATTCCATTTTTTTCTGAATGTTCTAGAACAAGCATGTCAAACTCAAAGTCTAGCACGGGCCAAATAAACAAGGTTTAAGTTTATGTGGGCTGCAAAAAAAATAATTTTCATAGAAACCTAGGTTTATTTTGAAAAGTACAGTATAAAAGAACCCCCAGCATCCCCCTCTACTAAACCACAGCACCCCCTCTACTAAATTCCAGTCCCCCCATATACCAAATCCCAGAACCCCCCTCTAGCCAACAAGCAGACTCAACTCACATTGCCACTGCCAGTATGCGACTCCGGTCTCTGGACCCTGTGCCAAAGCGGATCCTCCCACTACTTCTTGAAACCCTGTGAAGGTAGAACCTCCATGCACCTCTAGATCCTCCACTGTCAAGCCGTGGCCATCGCAACACTGACCGAAACACACACACTCACTGACACATTTACTGACAGACACACACACACTCACTGACAGACACACACACACTGACAGACACACACACTGACAGACACACACACAGACAGACACACACACACACTGACAGACACACTCACATGTATTTATCCCTTGGGTCTTTTATCTGGAGATTTCCTTACCACTGCTCAACTCACTGAGTGCCTGCTAGAGTCTAGTGATGCCGGGTGCCGGAATATGATATCATTACAGAGGGCGCGCCTGAGGGAGCAGTGAGGAGCAGGAAGACTGAGCTTCTCCAGCGACCTCTCCTCCCGGCCGTGTAAATTTTAACAGAGTAGGCACTTTGCAATGTGGAGAAAGCAGGTGTCTACTCTGCTTTAACACTAAGCATGCAATCACGGCTCGCCGGGCCGCAAAGATGTCCATTGTTGGCCGCGAGTTTGACATGCTTGATCTAGAATATTTACTTCTTCTAAAGCAATCACATGCTCCAGATGTAAAATGTAATAAGGAATCCTAGCCGTGATTCCAAAAGATATACTGTGAGTATTTTATTTATTTTTACACCAAGAACAAGTTGTACAGTCATGCAACACTTTGATGTCGTGATCCACAGAATGCAGAATTTATAACCAAGCTTGAAAATGTTCTAAAGTAATAAATGCTTTTAATAATTTCTAAAATACCCAGGAGTATAAAGTAGAACTGCAAAAACTGTGCATTAATTAAATGTCATCGTTTACATATCTTTTGTGAGCTGTGAGTAGTAAATAGAGTAAGATGATAAAACGTTACAAAATAACTATACAAGCAAAGCACAGACAAATGGTAACAATTCATTTTGAACAGCAAATTTAAAACCAAACACATTAATCGAATTCTATGGTGTTAGGATTACAAATGGGTTTACTTTCCTTATCTACCTTGCAGCGCCGGTCTCCTCGGTGAAGCATTGACTCTTTGGCTGACATCATCGAGATCATTAATCTCAGCCAACTTAATGCTTTCCGGTAGGAATGCATTGGGAGACTAGTACGCATGGGTGGCAAAATGCTGTACAGCACCAATCAGATTGCCTCTCAGACCATCAGGGTTTTACTCCACTATTGTTGCAGAAGCGCCTCTAGTGGGTGTCAGTATGATAGCCACTAGAGGCAGGTTAACACTGCAAGAAAACATTACTTCCGTTCATTATGGTGAAGTGGTCTTGGTGCCTACTTTAACCAGTTGTTACTCATATATACAGGCTTTGTTATTTTACCCCTTCTTGGCCCTCTTACATTTCAAGGATTCCACCAGTTAAAGTCTTATCAGTAGATTCTAATGTTAGTGAATATTTCAGATCTGGTTAACAGTGGATATGCAAAATGAATGGGTATAAAATAAAATAAAATTATACCTATTTACATTGAGTTTATATATTCCAAAACAAGCACACCATTCTAAAGGGCCAATTTTGAGTCTGCAGTAACCGTATGGATCATGCATGGAATACCCAAATGCTGAGAGCACTCTTTTTCTGCAAAATAGTATTTAGAGTCAGTAATTGATCGGTTTTTTTTGAGTGCCTGCTAGAGTTGATTAATCCATTGGTAAGTGATGCGTTCGATATGCACATGTTTAATTGATGAGAGATGCTCTAATGTCAATAAAACATTCTAATGGGATTACAATTAACATTTAGTGACTGGTTTGCTCTTTCTGTATTATCCTGTATCTTGTAAAATCTTTAAATAAATATTGTCAAAATAGCATTTGGCACTTTATTGTTATTAGCCTTATCAATATTGTCAAAACTTTAATAGGGAGTTCATGGAAAAAATGTATCGGTCCATCAATAGTGATATGGATTTAGTAAAGTGAATGAACTTCATATTAAACCTATTTTGCAAAAAGGTGATTTATTGGAAGAGTAAAAAGGGGAAGCATGGGATGTTAATGGAAAAGAGGGATAATTTAATTTAATTTAATTTGATTTGTGGATACTGAACTCCCTTTTTAGTGTGGAGTTTCGGCTTCAGGTGAAGGACTGAAGGGGTGGAAGGGGTGGAGGGGGTGGGGGGGTGGGAGGGGGAGAATAGTATTTAAAATCAGTCATTTTTCCTGTGCCATGCAATATCTATCAAAAATGATATGATTATTTGTTCCGCGCACTTTCCTTGTATACCTTGTGGATTGCTCACCAAATGCTTGAATGCCCCCAATGGACTTTTCATGGCAGTAAAAACCCCACAAACATAATGTAAAGCCCAAGCCAGTCACCTACAGCTCAGAGCTTTAGGAAGCATTGGCTTGTTTTTTAGGAAAACCATTTCTTATAAGACTGTGCCCAGCAAGCGTGCCTTGGCTTTTAACCCCTTAAGGACACATGACATGTGTGACATGTCATGATTCCCATTTATTCCAGAAGTTTGGTCCTTAAGGGGTTAATCACTGTCACCTGTTCTTCCTCAATGCCATACACTACGTGGCATTATCCTTGAGCATTTTGTGCATTTATCTGTCTGCCAGATAATCCAGTTCTTCCACCGGTGTCCCCAGAAAATGTGTTGTAGCTTTTAACTCAAAGCATCATATCAATTCTAACCTACGCACAATACGCAGCTTTCTTTTACAATACTTTGTCAGATAACCCAGTTCCTACAACAGTGTGCCCAGCAAGTGTGTGATTGCTTACAGCGTATAGTGACATGTTCATTCTTATTGCCCTAAACTAACTATACCACTATAGACAGCAACCACTTTGCACAATGCACAGCAACAGTGCTGCGTTGAGCAAAGTCCACACATATTCGATGCAAAATTCATGGACAAATAATGGGCATTCTGCAAAACCTGCACAGATCAAGAAAATAAACCCTAATTCACATGTAAAATGTATGGGGACATTCTACCAACTCTAATGAGCATGTAAAGCCAATGCTACATCCATGCAGACTTAGAAAGTACAAGAGGATGCAAATTCTGTGCGTTCAGTTTTACTGCTTACTCTAAATGTGGCTGTTCTAAGGCTTGATTAACGCCTAACTTTAGATGGGCACTAAAATAAGACAGTTCTTTGCACCGTCAGGTAATATGCTGATTAATGGCTGCTGTCTGTGGTGCTACTTTATGTTATAGTTTAAAGGGACTCCTGTCCATGGTGCTGGGTTAGGAAACCTTCCATTTGGAAACATATATATATAATATAAGGTTCAGTTAAATGAAACAGTGAAACATAAAGAGGTTTGTCACTATACACAACAGAAAATACAACACAAAGAAAGGAGAAATAATAAAAATACTCAGCTGTTTTCGAAGTCTTCGCTGGAATAAAATATTATTTTCATTATGTAAAAAAACATAAAACAGACAACAGATATAGCACAGGTTGTTGGGGGCCCTTTCCTAATTCCCTAAGGTATAGAATATTGCATCTGAAAAAGCATCTAGTGGGTTCTTATATTAACACTTACAAATCATATGTAAAATTAAGAAATTAAAACTGCAAAAGACTAAAGGACATACAATATATTAGTATAATATGTGCATAGAAAGAAAACATTAGTAATAAATCATTCTCAGTAAATCTCTTGAAAGTACCTTGGATTTAGACACACAGGCAGAGTTATTTACTAACGTGAGAATTATGGGGAGTACATAGTAAATTCAAAGGGAATTCTAATTTAATGCCAAAATAGCT